TATTAATAGTTTTTTTATGATTTCTACATCGTCAGTCCTTTTTTTCTGCTCTGTTGTCAACATGTACAGTGATGAGAAATCCAGACTCTTGACTGTTTAGCGTTAGCCGTTAGCTTCACCAGCCGATCACATGGTCACCTGGTTTCTGAGCTCCACCTGTTCTATAGAACCTCCTTGGACAACCCTGGTATACTGTATATATGATAGTACTTTAGTGTATATATAGTAATAGGTTAGTATTTGGTTAGTTGTAGTATTTATAGTTGTGTCTGACATCCCTAATATTTAGTTTTTATACTTCAATATTGTATTGTAGTGTACTTCAAGGCCGTTGTGCTGTCAGATTTTCCCTTCGGACCATGTCAAACTGCTGTTGAATAACAGTTGTTGTACATGCAATGTTGTTTCTGATGTTGTCTGTGTTGCTGGATTAAACAGAATGTTGGACTGAAGATAGCAACAAACCTTCATATAAAAGTGCCCTCATGTCTCAAATTTAAGGGAAGAGAATACCATCTAGGTAAGCCACCACAGTATTTTTTCTTTGCTTGGAAATTGTGACATGACCATGAGAGCATTTGCTTTTATTTTGTTTTGTTCACATATTTATTTTCAGGTTATGTAGGGTATGGTATTCAATATTCGAAAATGGATTCAATGGCTGCACCAGGGTAAGTACACTGTTAAATATTGCACCTTCATTTAGTTGTGTCCACTTACGACTGCTCTCTAACACAAAAAGCTCTGACAAATTTTGGATTTTGAACTAAACACTGAGTTTTAGAAAGTTAAACTTTTGGTAACACTTTACAGTAAGGTACACAAAAAATGATTAACTACTGAGGAACTAGTTACTGAGTTTATATCAGAACACAGCAGCTGTGACGAAACTGTGGAGAAGACACGCCATCTTGGAGAGCCGTTAACCAATATGCAAATTAGACTGCAGTACTACTGCTCAACCCATAGTGTGCAGCAAAGAGATGTTTTTAGACCAAATATTGCAGATTTCAACAAATACGCACAAAAACATCTAAATTAGCACAGAAATAGTACTACAGAACATTTCCCACACATTCTAGACAGTTTATCAGCTAAAAAAAGTTATTTTTGGGGTAAGTTCCTCTTTAAAACACTATGTTGAGACAACAACAACAATGTAGCACAATTAACATTTTAAACTTTCATTTTTAAGTTAAACATGCAATTAACATGCATTTTTCTGGCAGCATGTGAACTTTCATTTGCAAGTTTAAATGACTTGAAATGTCTTACTGTATAAGCTTGTCAAGAGGTATTCCAGCAGTTGGAGCATCTCTCGGTCCCATGAACAACGCTGAACCAATCGAGACAGTCCGGACCTTCTTCCCAGAGACTTGGATATGGGATCTGGTGGAAACTGGGTGAGTCTCTGTGGTAGAGGAACCTATTGATCATTAAAATGGAAACTAGATTTGCTATAAATGTAAGCATCATTTTTGCTGCATCTCTGTACAAGGGTAAGCAACCAAAATGTAACTTAATAGCTTAAAGTGTATTTAAAGGATATGTATATCCTTCAAATACACTGCTCAAAAAATAAAAGGAACATTTAAACAACATGATAAAACTCCAAGTCAGTCTCACTTTTGTGAAATTATCCTGTCCAGTTAGGAAGCAACACTGATTGTGAATCAGTTTAATTTGCTGTTGTGCAAATGGAACAGACAACAGGTAGAAGTGGGGAAATTAGCAATACAAACCCTATAAAGGAGTGGTTCTGCAGATGGTTACCTAAGACCATTCCTGTGTTCTCATCCTTTCTGGCTGATGTTTTGGTCACATTTGCAAGTTTTTTTAGTGCTCACCCCTAGAGGTAGCATGAGGCGGTGTCTCAAACACACAAAAAGTTGCACAGGTAGTGCTGCTCATCCATCCTACCATCACTCGTGAACAAAACACCAAGATGCTTAAACTCCTCCACTTGAGGCAGAGACACCCTCCCCTACACAGAAACAAATTGGAGGTGCCATTCCACCTTTTTCTGGTCAAGAACATAGAAGTGACTATTATGCCAGCCGCTTCACACCTAGGTGCAATCGCCCCAGTGCATACTGAAGGTCTTGGTCCAAAGACGTTAACAATACCACATCATTCACATAAAGCAGAGACGAGGCCCTGTGGTTCAAAACCAGACACCCTCCACTCCACAACTGCACCTTCAGGTCCTGTCTATAAACACTACAAACAGGATTAGAGACAAGGGACAGCCCCAAGTAGGGGTCTCTGCGGACGAGTGGGCGTGTCCCAACGAAAGGCGATTCTAAAGCAACACACCTGATTTGACGGACTTTGTTAAAGGGACACACCTGATTTGACGGACTTTGTTAAAGGGACACACCTGATTTGACGGACTTTGTTAAAGGGACACACCTGACTGGACAAGCAAAAACGCGACACCGAACGGCACCACCTGATTGGACAAGAACAAACGGGGCGTTACTGTACGGCACCACTTTTCTGCAGAACCCTACTTGGGTCACATTTCTCCTGGTTAACCTTAGTGTTGGGGTCAGGGTCAGGCTGTAAAGAGGTCAAGCAGGGTCTAAGGATACCATCATGTAGGCCTCATGACCCACAGTTTATGCTTTAGACACGCCCACTCTTGTGACATGCCCACTTTGATTCCTCAGATAACCCCTTCGACAGCCCTGGCAGAGTCCAACCCGTACTGACAACAAGCTCGATTAATGTGCCAACAATGAAGTTCAGGTTCTCAAGCCATTTGTGTTTGTGGACCCCTTACAAAAATGAAAAAAATTCCAGGGACCTCCTCATAAACCCCAAGTTGTTTTAAAAGATAATTTATTGTCATTTCAATCCCTAAATGCCATTGTTAAGGTTCGTGTTTTGAGCTCTGAATGAATACCGAACAAAGTCAAAGTTTTAACAAGTTTATTGTTAGAAAATTTGGCTGGAAGGCTGGGACCGGAATCTGGGGTCGTCAGTTCTGGACACAGAATCTCAAGGTTAGGTTGGGTCAGGAACATGATATAATTTGTGAGAAAAAAGATCAACCTTTCCTGCTGAAATGAGGACCGGGTAGAAACAAACAGCAGAAGTGCTTTGGTTCCGGGCTGTGTTGTTGGGAGGAGCAAGCGGATCGCTGGACTTACTCGAGGTCAGAAACAGGGCAAGGGTCATGCACGGGTGGTCAGAGGTAGTTACCAAGTTTGAGGGAGATGACTGAGCCAATGATCCAGAGGTGCGTTCCGAGGTCGAGATCCGTGAGGCCCGATGTGGCGTGGTGCCGTTCAGGGAGCAGGTGAGAGACAAAAATCCAAAGGGCAGAAAAAAGGTCGTTACCGTGAGAGCAGAAGGCAGGAGGGATCCGACGGGCTGAGGCAGGAGACGTGGAACCAGGAGACATGAGCAAGGTCGGGGACACGAGGCAAGAGCCGGACAAGGGACAAGAACGCTGGAGAATCACAGACAAGGCTGATGATAATCTGGCAAGGAGCTGGAGAATGAGACTGGATTAAATACTGCTGCAAACAGATGAGTGGAATGAGCTTGATTAGTGTTTCTGTGACGGGAGGGGCGAGAGCAAAGAGTAGGAGCTGGATGTGAACTGAAAGGCTGGGGACAAGACTGTGAGAGTGAACTGGGACATGAGATGAAATAATAAAACTAAACTGGAACTAGATCTGGGCAGACAGTGACAGAATCATAACAGCCATGGGAACATATATTTTTATTAAGTTTATTATGTTTGTTTTAATAGTTCATTGTTCTCCATGTATTTTTAAAAATATAAACCAAATTAACAATTTAGTGAAATATTTTGAGGAACCTCTGTGATAAAAAAAACAAAAAGAAAAAAATTGTATAGGTCTTCTGGACGGGTTCTTCTCTAATGAAACGTTTCGTCTCTCCTCCAAGAGACTTCTTC